CTTTACTGAATAGTTTTTGGTACGTAAATCTAACCTAGCAGGGAGAAAAAGCTAATTATAAAGTGAAGAAAACAATGCACAGCTTCTGTCTGATAAATGTGTGATTTTCTGTCCTACTGTTTCAGACTTTGTTTCCCCTCACCAGACCGATCATGGCATTTGCCTTGTTCTGTCTTCACCAAGCACCTCAGGCACATTTCCTTTACCTTAGAATATAAAACAACTTAAGATGACTGTTGTTGAAAACTGGAGCAGCAGTAAAATTAAATATTTAAAACAAGACTACTATGTTATCATCCAGTGTTGCTGTGTGCAGTTAAAGGGACACTTTGTCTATGAAACATCAGCGGCTTCAGTATTAGATGCCCGGTGATGAGTGTGTGTCAGCCTTACATTAGAAGCGTTTTGACCGATTAAAAATCGACAGTTTAACTGTGCGACACACTGCACAAACAAGCTATTTAATTGCTGCTAGCAGATGCTGAAAAAGGCTCTTAGCAGAACATTGTTTGTTTTCCACATGGCTCCACTGACATCAAACGATCTCTTAGCCCAACAGAAATGGGCCGCTCCACTAATAAACTTTTATGGCGATCTTGAAGCGAGCATCGCATTTTTCCGGCAGAAGACTCAATTTGACCTTCAGGGGTTAAATCTAAAGGGTGTTGGAGCAGATTGGATAATTTGTCAGCACTGGCTGAGGTTTGCACTTTATTGCAGTGTGCTCGTTAGTTTCTTAATGTTTCAGCAGTGTTCATGTTTTTTCTCTCTCTTCCCCTGTCTCTACAGGACACCCCTAATAGCAGCTGGAGTCATCGGCGGCCTATTCATCATCGTCATTCTGGCGCTCAGCGTGGCCGTTTATGTTCGCCGCAAAAGCATCAAAAAGAAGAGGGCCTTGCGGCGTTTCCTGGAGACAGAGGTGAGAGAGTAGAGGGTAGAGCAAACATATTGGGAGGTTTCTCCTCACCTGTGTTTTCTGAATGCTTTCAGCTGAATTAAGTTCCCTTAAAAAGTTTCATTGCACTAAACTTTTACCTTGTAAGGAAACCTTGAAATATTAAACCTTGGCTAAGGTACTTAGCCAAAGCAGGCAGCGCGAAGGAAGGTTGGAAAATTATGCACGGTCACCGCTGCCCATCGATATGGCCTTGAAGAAGGTTCATTTCTGGGAAGCGTTAGAGAGCGGAGCGGACTTCATTATCAAAGGTGAAAGTCAAAGATCGGGAAGGGTGCAGGGTTTATATAAGCATCCATGCTTTGGTCCATGCCTTTTATGGTGCTACAGGACTCTCTCACACTGTTTCCTCCAGCAGTCATATCATCACTGCAGGTGCGCCGAGTTGGCCGTGCCCGTAGGTGGGGTAGGCTGCTTGTCATTCTGGATTAGGATAATTTACAGGTAGAGGCAGCAGTGTTATAGACAGCTGCCAGGCAGGAGATGGAATTAGAGGAGGGCAGCCATGGGCAGTTTCTGCCTCATCTCGGCCATGCACATCCATCTTAATCAAGCAGGCCCTGCTCAGACAGCCGCTTGACCCGGAGGGAAGTCTTCACTCCGTGCAGAT